CATGTGGAATATTATAATTGGGAATATTTTCAAAGTTGAGGAAACACTAATTCAGTGCAACCTGAAGTGGAATCAGGTAATACAAATATATGTAAAGAAAATGGCTTAGTTGGAAAAATTTACAATGTTTTTGAAAATGTAAGGTGTTGAAAGACTTCATTAATTGTATTAGCCATTAGCAGGTACTTCTGAGAAAAATATTTGCCTCTCACGTGTTTTTGAACTAATAGTGTTAACAGTGAACTTTTGGTCTCATGGACTTAATAACCTTCAGTCCCGTAAATTTTTGTCATAAATAAAGGCAAATCCTTACTCTCTCTACCCCATAACAATGTTTAGCAGTGGTAAAATTTTGAGATTTTTTGTCAGCTCAGAGTAAAAATTGAAATTTTTCTTAATGAGGACTTTTCTCAACTATTATTCTTAAACTCTGAATGACTTTGGAAATTAGCTTTTGCTGCAGACTTGATAATGTTTCTCAATGAATTAAATCTAAAACTATAAGGCAAAATTAATCTTATATACAAAACTTATACTAAAATAAAGTCATTTTGATGACAAGCCTCATGGTTTGAATCACAAGTGAAGTCCAGCTGCTTTATTCACTCTCTATGCCACAAAAAAATAAAACAAAGAAGGTGGGGGAGGGTGAGTGGTAGGAGGTAATCAACTAAAGACCTTGTGTGCATATATGTAAAACCCATGGACACAGACAATAGGATGGTGAAGGCCTGGAGTGGGGGGTGAGGAGGGAGGGCAGGCTGGAGGTGGTCAATGGGGGAAAAGAGGGAAATACCTAAAACTTTCAACAATAACAAATTATTAAAAATGAATAAATTAAAAAAGTACTCACAATATTGCAAGGCATATAGTAGATGCTTAATAAAACATATAATAAAATAATTAAAATGAAGAAGTGAGATCTCCATCCCACTCATGTTTGTTGGGAATATATTTCCCAAGCTCAACCTATAGTTCCAGCAGTATTTTTTGAACCTCAATACACATGTCTCTGTCCAAGGGTTCTGCACATATATATGCAGAAGTTCTTTGCTCTCTCCCACCTACCCATCCTCCCCTGCCTTCCTTCTGACATTCCCCAGTCTGTTCTATGCTTCTGTGTCTCTGGATCTATTTTGTTCAAATCATGTGATACTTGTCTTTCTTTTTTTTCTTTTTTTTTTTTTTTTTTTTGCTCTTTCATGATAATGTTTATTAATAAAATTATTTATGTAATACTTTGGTTTATACAAAATCAAGCAAATATATTACTTACAACACAGAAAACTAAAGAGGATGCACAAGACATGCTTTCTCAACAGATCCAGGGACACTAAGGTCCTGCCGGTGTGAATTTCGAATTAGGCTCTTATAGGCCAGGCAGCAATCTCTCCTTCACTGATGATGCATTTCAGGAGGAAGCAGGGCAGGAAGCTGAGAAAAATCAGCAGGCACTGTGTGCTTAGTCTAGTCGAGTATGAGGTGAGAAATTCCTTCAGGTCACAGCTACCGGATGTCTGGCGAGGGAGGCAGTGCAGGGTCCCGAAGACGCACCTGCAGAGCTGGCAGCCGCAGACATTCCAGGATCCGTGCACCAGGGTGCTGCACTCACTTTGCCTCAGGTCGTGCTAGCAGTAGCAGCCAGTGAAATGGGTGGAGCACACGCAGAAGCTACCCAGCACACAAGTGCCGTTCATACAGCAACGCTGGGGCGAGGGTCTACTTGTCTTTCTTTGACTGTTATTATGCTGACTCAAAGGGTAAGAGATCCTTCTTTTTTACTGCTGCATAGTATTCCATGGTATATTTATCCACTCATTTGCTGATGGGCACTTGGGCTGTTTCCAGATATTAGTTATTGTAAATTGTGCTGCTATGAATATAGGAATGCATACTTTCTTTCTGATTGGTGTTTTGGGTTTCTTAGGATATATTCCTAGAAATAGGATCATTGGGTCAAATGGCAGTTCCATATTTAATTTTCTGAGAAAACTTCATACTGTTTTCTTTTTTTAAAATATATTTTATTGATTTTTTTTACAGAGAGGAAGGGAGAGGGATAGAGAGTTAGAAACATCGATGAGAGAGAAACATCAATCAGCTGCCTCCTGCACACCTCCTACTGGGTATGTGCCCGCAACCAAGGGACATGCCCTTGACCGGAATCGAACCTGGGACCCTTGAGTCTGCAGGTCGACACTCTATCCACTGAGCCAAACTGGTTAGGGCCATACTGTTTTCCATAATGGTTTCCCACACACAGTGTAATAGGGTTTCCTTTTCCCCACATCCTTGTCAGCAATCGTCATTGGCTGATTTGTTGATGATAGTCATTCTGACAGGTGTGAAAGTACACCTATTGTCATTACAATTTTTGCAACTCTCTGATGCCCAGTGGCTTTGAAGATTTTTTCATATGTCTCTTGGCCATCTGTATGTCCGCTTTAGAAAAGTGTTTATTTAGGTCCTTTGTCTATTTTTTCATTAGATTTTTTGTCTTGCTTTTGTTAAGTTGTTTAACTTCCTTATACACCGGAAGCCAATTCCAGCATGACAGCAGGGCTGAATCTGCAGTGGCTGAAGGGCATTTCCCCAAACCTGAAAAGGATGCATTAATTTGATTGTTTGCTGCCATACAGCTCAGGGCATCTTAATCTACATGTTATTGCCTCCTACTGGCCAAACACCTGAACAGCCATAGGCTAATTCGACCCATTCAGACAATGGACTGTGTATACGAAACCTGATCCTTTGAAGTGTATATCTCTGCCTCACCTTAGGACAATTTGTGTTAATAAAAAGCATGGGGTCCTGAGATGAGGAGAACTTAGTTTCTTTAGCTAGGCTCCTCTGACCCCCAAATGCCTTTCAAAATTATGCTTCATCTCTGGACTCTTTATTAAGTTACACACAGCCCCTTCTCCAGATTGCTGAATCCTTCTTAATGCCGGACAAGAACCCCGGCACTTATATATTTTGTATATTAACTCTTTATCAGATGTATCATTGTCAAATATGTTCTCCCATCAGTGGGCTCCCTTTTCATTTTGTTGATGGTATCTTTTGCTGTGCAGAAGCTTTTTATTTTGATGTACTCCTATTTGTTTATTTTCTCAGTTTCCTTTTGCCCCTAGGAGATGTATCCATAAACATATTGCTATGAAAGAAGTCTGAGATTTTGCTGCCTATGGCTTCTTCTAGGATTTTCATGGTTTCCTGACTTACATTTAAGTCTTTCATTCATTTTTAGTTTATTCTTGTATATAGGGTTACATGGTGGTCTAGTTTCATTTTTTTAATGTACCTGTCCAATTTTCCAAACACTATTTATTGAAAAGACTGTCTTGACTCCATTGTATGCTCCTGCCTCATTTGTCAAACATTAATTGAGAGTAATGGCTTGGGTCAATTTCTGGGGTCCCTATTCTATTCCATTGATTTATATGCCTATTGTTGTGCCAGTATCAGGCTGTTTTGATTACCATGGCCTTGTAGTATAACTTGATATCTGGGATTGTGATCTATCCAACAATGTTCTTCTTTCTCAAGATTGCTACAGCTATTCAGGGTCTATTTTGGTTCCATATAAATTTTTGGAGTATTTGTTCTAGATCTGTGAGATATGCTGTTAGTATTTTAATAGGGATTGCATTGAATCTGTAGATTGCTTTGGGTACTATGGAAAATTTAATGATGTTAGTTCTACCAATCCATGAAAACAGTATATTCTTCCACTTGTTTTGTTTATATCTTTCGTTATCTCCTTTTCAATGTCCTGTAGTTTTCTGAGTACCTCTTTGGTTAAGTTTATTTCTAAGTATCTTACATTTTTTGTGCAACAATAAATGGGATTATTTGTTTAGTTTCTCTTTCTGAGGGTTCATTATTGGTGTTTAAAAAGTGCCATCAATTTCTGGCTGACAAATTTGTATCCTGCTACATTTCCAAATTTATTTATTAAATCTAGTAGTTTTTTGGGGTGGAGTCCTTAGTGTTTTCTCTGTATAATATCATGTCATCTTCGAATAATGAGAATTTTTACTTCCTCCTTTCCAATTTGAATGCCTTTTATTTCTTCTTCTTGTCTGATCACTGTGTCTAAGACTGCCAGTACTATCTACTTATATAAAAACCATGGGTGGTGTTCGTCACATACAAACGAACAGCCCTGACTGAGCGGAAGGAAGTCAGTCCTACAGGGGTTGTCTTGGCAACGGGCTGCGCCCTCCCCCCAGCTGTTTCCTGGAGCTGTTTCCTGTAAGGGGGAGTTTGAGGCAGGAATCCGCCCTGGGAGCATGGAGGCAAATCTTTCTAAAGTGTGCCGTGTCAGCACAGGATGAACCTGAGTGGGGCGGCTGAAAGGCTTAGAAAAGACAGACAAGAGAATGAAAGCTGGGTCTTGGTGGGACGCTGCTTCTCTGAGAGACAGCGACCACGCCCACAGCCATACCTTTAGTTTATAGCAGATGCTATGAGGCAAAGTAAGGGCATGGCCAAGATGTTTACAAACATTCTCCTGAGTTTCAATCCTACTCAACTACATGCACCTGAACTCTATCAAGCCCACATCACTCAGGTATGTGGGTCCTTTTTTCGTAGGTTAGTTCATACAACTACAGCTGTTGGCTATAATTGTGCCGGGAGGGCCCTGCCCTCCAAGCTGGGACTTGCATGTGGCAATGAGAGCACTGTGCCCTCTCCTCAGTCCAAGGCTTGAACCTGTCCAAAACACTGTAGTGGCTCCCCACAATAAAGTTTTCATTCTTTTTCTTTGTTACTAATGTTGTGGCGCCACCTCATAACAAAGAAACAAAGGAAAATTTCCCCATCGAATTTCTGAATAGTATTACTCCTTTGGGAATGCCGTGTCATAAATTAAAATTGAAAGTGGGTGCAATCATCATGCTATTGAGAAATCTCAGGGGGAAAACTGCGGCCACCAGGCGGGCGCAGCAGCAGGCGGCATCTCTCGCGGGCAAAGAGCAGGAGGCCGGCTGCAGCGGCGGACTGAGCAGATCCTGAACCAAGCCCTCGGCACCATGAACCCTGCCCTCAGTATCGCTCTCCTGCTGACAGGTACTGGGCAAGGGGTGGCTCGGGTTCGAGCATGCTGGCTTCCTTCCTTTAAGAAGCTAGCTTCTTCCTCCTGGCCTGGGAAGGTGGGGATGACTACAGAGGGAGGGCTCTTCTTTTTTTAAAATATATTTTTATTGATGTCAGAGAGAGAGGGAGGGAGAGAGAAACATCCATGAGGAGAGATAACCATGGATGGGCTGCCTCCTGCACAACCACACCAGGGATCGAGCCCACAACCCGGGCCTGTGCCCTGACCGGGAATCGAACCCATGACCTCTTGGTTCCTGGGTCCAAGCGCAACTGCTGAGCCACGTTGATGGGGCAGAAAGGTGCTTTTTCATCCCTACGTCAGCGAAGCCACCTGGTTGGCCTGGCGGCCTGGGGTGGTTTGGGAAACAGTTCACAGAGCCCACCCCGCATGGAGTGGGAATCTCCGCTGGGAACCAGGAACCTGTGTCACCTCCCCAGGGTGTCTGGCCCCTGGGGCACGCGGTGGGACCAAGCCTGGGGGCCTGAGGGGGGCTAGGCTCGCAAGGGGTGTGGAGGGGTGCTCAGAAGGCACCCCCTGTGCCCCTGGCCGGGCCCACTCTGCTGTGAATGTGGAGGGAGGCTTCCTGTGGGGCAGCCCCCGCCCCCCGGCTCAGAGGGGGCGCTCTGGGACAGGCTTGCAGGTGGCCGGTGGCCAGAAGGTGACCAGCCTCACGGCCTGCCTGGAGGACCAGAGCCTGCGCCTGGACTGCCGCCACGAAAACACCACGACCGTGCCCATGCAGTTCGAGTTCAGCCTGACCCGCGACGCCAAGAAGCACGTGCTGTTCGGCACCATCCCTGAGCACAGGTACCGCTCCCGCACCAATCTGACCTACCGGAGCACCCTCAAGGTCCTCTACCTGTCCGGCTTCTCCTCCAGGGACGAGGGGCTGTACACCTGCGACCTGTACCTTCCCGGCCAGCCCCCCAGCTTCTCCAACAGGAACGTCTCTGTGCTCAGAGACAAGCTGGTCAAGTGCAGGGGCGTCAGCCTGCTGGCCCAGGACGCCTCATGGCTGCTGCTGCTGCTGCTGCTGCTCTCCCTGCCTCTCCTGCAGGCCATGGATTTCGTCTCCCTGTGACCTGTGGCCTGTCCAGACAGCTTCCTCCTCGGGTCAGCTGACCCCTCCCCCAATCCCTTACATGCCTGGGGGAAATGGGGACCCCACCCTCATAAGGAGTCCCGCGCTGCATGCCATCATCTACCCACTCCCCATTGCCCCCCAGCGCCTCCCACCCTCCACACACCACTGGCCTCTCGTCCTTGCTCCTTAGCTGCTGCTGCTTCTGTGGTTTATTCAGGATTTCCTTCCTTTTCTTGGGGAGTGTGTGAAAATGGAAGCCAGGTTGGGGCCCGATGGAGAGTGAGGACAGGGGAGGGGCTGTGGGGCGGAGGGGTACCTGTGGGCGGGTCATCCCTGCCCCGGGGACCAGAGCCTGGGAGTGGGGTGTGCTTGGGTGCAGAGCCCCCTCAGCAGCCCCGCCCGGATGCTAGGAGAGTGCTAGGGGCACCCTCCCCGCAGCCTGAAGCTGGCCTCTTCCCACCTCGTCCAGTGGAGGCTCAGACCCTGCCCAGCAGCAGTGCTGACTGGGTGGGAGGGGGTGAAGGGAGGGCCCCTCCCCCCTCGTCCCCCCCCCTCCCCCTTCCCTCCTAAGCACGCTAAGAAGGGGCCTGCTGCCTCTCGCTGCCTCCCCAGCAGCAGAGCGGGCGGCTGTCCCAGCCCCTAAGAATCCCGGATGCTGACCTGGAGGCAGTGAGGGCCCAGGGGAGCCCAGAGCCACGGGATCTGGCCCCAGAGTTTCTCCAGGAGGCAGAGGCGTTTCCTGCCCTCCCAGCCCCAGCTGGTGCCTGAGCCTCACCCCCTGCCCCACAGCCTGCTGTGGGGTTGGGGGGGCGGGGGGGGGGGGGGCCTGGGGCAGGCCCTGAGAAATGGATTTCCCTGACACCCAGCTCCCCGTCTGCCTGGCAGCTCTGCCTCGTCCTGTGACTGCATCGTGCCACCCCCGCTTATGACATCTCATTGAGGAAAAAGAAAGTTGCACAATAAACAAACCTCTGGAAAAAAAAAAAGAAATCTCAATAGTAAATGGGGTCTTTGTAATGGTACCAGATTTATTATCAAAAGATTACCACCTAACATTATCAAAGCTGAAGTATTAACAGGATCTGCAGAGGGAGAGGCTGTTCTAATTCCAAGAATTAATTTGTCCCCATCTGACACTGGCCTCCCATTTAAATTGATTCGACAATGGTTTCCCGTGATGCCAGCATTTGTGATGACTATTAATAAATCACAAGGACAAACTCTAGACAGAGTAGGCATGTTCCTACCTGAACCCGTTTTTGCACATGATCAGTTATATGTTGCTTTCTCTCGAGTTTGAAGAGCATGTGCTGTTACAGTTAAAGTTCTAAGTACTTCATCACAAGGGAAATTAGTCAAGCACTCTGAAAGTGTTTTCACTCTTAATGTGGTGTACAGGGAGATAAGTTTAATTGCTTTATCAGTCATTGTTTGCATCACTGTTGTTTTTATATCATGTTTTTGTTATCTTCATATCATGTTTTGTCATTTTTATATCATGCCTCTGTTGTTGTTATATCCTTTTGTTACTGTTTATTTATTAATAAATTTATATATGGTTTTCATATACATTTTACTAATTTCCTTTCATCTCTCACACTTCTATTATAGAGAAAGGGCAAATAGCAATATTAAAATATCTCTGCTAATTAATTCCCTTTTTAAAAAAATATATTTTATTGATTTTTTACAGAGAGGAAGGGAGAGGGATAGAGAGTTAGAAACATCGATGAAAGAGAAACATCAATCAGCTGCCTCCTGCACACTCCCCACTGGTGATGTGCCCGCAACGAAGGTACATGCCCTTGACCAGAATCGAACCTGGGACCCTTGAGTCCGCAGGCTGATGCTCTATCCACTGAGCCAAACCGATTAGGGCAATTAATTCCCTTTTAATATGCACAAATTTCATGCACTGGGCTACTAGTGTTGAATAAGAGTGGTGAAAGCGGACATCCCTGTCTTGTTCCTGTTCTTAGGGAAATGGTTTTGATTTTTATCCATTGAGTATGATATTCACTGTAGGCTTGTCCTATATGGACTCTATCATGTTGAGATATGATCACTCTATTCCCACTTTGCTGAGGGTTTTTATTTAAAAGGTGGGTGCTAGAAAGAAAAAATTTAAAAAAAAAAACTCAAAAAGGAAAAAAAGTGGGTGTTATATTTTTTCCAATGCTTTTTCTGTGACTATTGATATGATCATGTGATTTTTGTTTTTCAGTTTGTTTATGTTGTATATCATGTTTATTGATTTGTGAATATTGTATCAGCCTTGCATCCCTGGAATAAATCCCACTTGGTCATGGTGTATGATCTTTTTACTATATTGCTGGATCCAATTTGACAATATTTTGTTGAGTATTTTAGCACCTATGTTCATCAGGTATATTGGCCTGTAATTCTCTTTCTTTGTAGTGTTTTTATCAGGTATCTGCTTTTGGATTTAGGATAATGCTGGCCTGGTAGAAAGAGTTTGGAAGTGTCCCTTCCTGTTGGATATTTTGGAATAGTTTGAGGAGTTTAGGTGTTAGTTCTTCTTTGAATGTTTGGTATAATTCCTCTGTGAAGCTGTTCAGATGAGGGCTTTTATTTGCTGGGAGTTTTTTCTATTACTGCTTCTATTTCATCTGTTGTTATTGGCCTATTCAGGTTTTCTGATTCTTCCCGATTCAGTTTTGGGAGATTGTATTTTTTTAAGAATATGTCCATTTCGCCCACATTGTCCACCTTGTTGGCATATAATTGTTCATAGTATTTTCTTACAATCCTTTGTATTTCTGTGGTATCAGTTACTTCTCCACTTTTGTTTCTGATTTTATTTATTTGGGTCCTCTCTCTTTGTTTCTTGATGAATCTGGCTGGTGGTCATCAATTTTGTTTCTTTTCAAAGGACCAGCTTTTGGTTTTTCATTGATCTTTTGTACTGGTTTTTTTTTTTTTTAGTCTCTGTCATTTATTTCTGCTCTAATCTTTATTATTTCCTTCCTTCTACTTTCTTGGGGCTTTTCCTTTTGCTATCTTTCTAGTTCTTTAAATTGTAGGGTTAAGTAGTTTATTAATAATTTTCCTTATTTTTTTTTTTTTTGAGGTAAGACTATTGTGCTATGAAATTCCCTCTGAGGACTGCTTTTATGTGTCTCAGAGATTTGGGGTTGTTGTGTGCTCATTTGTTACCAGGAAGTTTTTTATGTCTAGCTTGATCTCATTGGTAACCCATTCATCCTATCTAATAATAGAGAAACATGGTAATTAGCTGTACCTCCGCTACCCTTCCTATTGGCTAATCAGGGCGATATGCAAATTCACTGCCAACCAAGATGGCGGCCAGCAACCAGGCAGCTTGAAGCGAACAGGAGGCTTGCTTGCTTCAGTGACGGAGGACTCCAACATTCCCCGCCTGCCTTGTCGGCCTCTGAGCTTGCAGTTTAAGAAACATTGTTACAAATATAGAAGCTAAACAAAACCTCAGAAACCTGCTTTCAGCCAGCTGGGCTTCAGCCAGCAGGACCACAACATTGTTTCAATTATAGAACAAACGAAGATCCCTGCTTTCAGCCAGCCGGGATCTCAGAGCTGGAGTGAGCAGGACCGCAACAGTGTTACAATTATAGAACCCAAACAAACCAGATACCTGCTTTCAGCAGCCGAGGCCTCAGAGCTGGAGCCAAGCCTCAGAGCTAAAGCTGGCCCAGAATAAAAAAGAAAAGAAAAGAAGGACAGGTTGGGAGCTTCAGTCACCTGCCAGCCTGAAAACGGCCCTCAGCCCCTCACCCAGACTGGCCAGGCACCCCAGTGGGGACCCCCACCCTGAAGAGGGTGTGACCAGCTGCAAACAGCCATCATCCTCTCATCCAAGCTGGCCAGGAACCCCAGTGGGGACCCCCACCCTGATCCAGGACACCCTTCAGGGCAAACCAGCCGGCCCCCACCCGTGCACCAGGCCTCTATCCTATATAGTAAAAGGGTAATATGACTCCCAGCACTGGGATCAGCGGAGCAGCAAGGCCTCCCAGCACCAGGATCAGCGGAGCTGCGAGGCCTCCTGGCCCCTGGAGCAGCATGACAGGAGGCAGCGACCAAACCCCCTGATCGCCCTGCAGCTCTGTGTGTGACAGGGGGTAGGGCCGAAACCTCCCTATCCGCCCTGCTCTGTTCGTGACAGGGGAAGGTGCCCCAAACCCCTGATCAGCCCTGCTCTGTGGGTGATAGAGGGCGGCGCCCCAACCGCCTGATCTGCCCTGCTCTGTGTGTGACAGGGGGTAGACCCGACTCCCCTATCAGCCCCACTCTGTGAGTGACGGGGGATTTCCTCAACCCCCTGACCGACCCTGCTTCTGTGAGTGACAGGCGGGAGCTCCCCAACCCCCTGATCGGCCCTGCTCTGTGTGTGACAGGCTACAGAGCCCCAACCCCCCTGATGGGCCCTGCTCTGTGCGTGACAGGGGGTGGCGCCGCAACCTCCCTATCGACCCTGCCTTGAGTGTGACAGGGGGCGGCACCCCAAACCCCCAATCGGCCCTACCCTGAGCATGACTAAGGGTGGCATCGCAACCTCTTGATCTGCCCTGCTCTGTGCATGACAGGGGGCAGCACCCCAACTCCCCAATCGTCCCTGCTCTGAGTCAAACCAGGGGCTGCACCTAAGGATTGGGCCTGCCCTCTGCCACCTGGGAGTGGGCCTAAGCCAGCAGGTTATTATCTCCCTAGGGGTCCCAGACTGCGAGAGGGCACAGGCTGGGCTGAGGGAGCCCCCTCCCCCCTGAGTGCACAAATTTTTGTGCACCAGGCCTTTAGTTGTTTAATAACATGCTTACAGAGACAGCCTTCCCCGTTTCTGCAGCTGGCGTTTGTTTGTTTGTTTTCAGTGAACCTTGTTCATAGGACATTTCGGATACAGACATTCACCTGTGCTGAAGAGTGGGAGAAGGTGCTGATGAGTGGAATCTGGGGAGAGGCTGGAGAGAGAAGGGGAGTCAGGAGAAGTGGCAGCAAATTGAGTGCTGAGTCACCCCTGAGCCCAGGACAAGGGCAGCCATTTTCTCCTAAAGTTATAACCCCACCCCTCCCTCCAGCCCCCAGGCAAGGAATACAGCCACACCCAGATTCCACC